CCCCACTATATATGTATGCATGTATATATATATATATATATATATATATACAACTCCAATTTCAAAAAAGTTGGGATGCTGTGCCAAATCTACAGAAAAACAGAATACAATGATTTGCAAATCTCATAAACCCGTATTTTATTCACAATAGAAAACATATCAAATGTTTAAACTGGGAAAATTTGCAATTTAAAAAAAAAGTAATGTTGAAATTGATGGCAGCAACACTTCTCAAAAAAAGTCTCTGTTTAGTTGTGCAACTAGATTTACACATAAATGCCCCTGTTGGTTGCCACAGATGAGGCAGAAACAAAAAGTACATGTACATTATAACGATTCTGCATGAGTGAATGTCGAATGGTAAACAGGTTCATGCTTATGTTAGGTTTTTAATTACATTGTGAAAGCATATTTGCTTATTACACATGGACTCTGTAACTCCTACTTAGTGGCACAGAACAATGTTTGTACTTTATCAAATCTCAATAGAAGTCTGATGTGTTCAGGCAATAGGCATGCAATGCAATGAATGTGCCATAGAGTAGCTGAGCAAGTTACTTACAGATCATGCAAAATATGTCTCTGCAAGGACATGAACATCACAAAAGCCTACCAAATCTTGTAGGTAAACTTCACAATAGTAATTTATACATTTTTTTTATCCTCAGTTGCTGCTCCAGCTCTGAACACAATGTATCCTGGTCAGTGACAACAAGAGCATGGGAATAGTATTACATTGTCTTGACTTGTTTTGCTCTATTGATTGTGGATTTTTCGGAGCAACATCCTCTATTACATACTGTGTGAATTTCAGCATTTCATCACTCCACCATGACAGAGACTTTCTTGGTACAACTGATTCACGTAGTCACGCCACAGGAATGAAGGATTCTTTATGCACATTGTCATTTGCAAGGCTGCAGAAATACTCATTATTGGGTTGAGCTGCATGGTTATATTCACTAATGTTATTGGAACACATTTTACTAATGTCTGTTGTGGATATAATAATGATACAGGCTCCATTCTTTTCCGACTTAAAGTGAATTTGTACTAACCTTTTGTGTATGTAAACTGCAGCAGGATGTTACACCAGGCACTCAAAGATACCAACATGCTTCAATAATCCTTTGGACTGATTCACACCATATGCATTTTCCAGCGCAGCCTCAACGCTACACAAGGCAGTTTGCCTTGTTTCTAATGGGCTCAGTTCACACCACCACATTGCGGTTGTGTACAATGAGAAAAAGCACTGCATGTAGTACTTTTTTTCAGCACAGCAGGGTGGGACATGGTACAACCGCATCACACTGCAGTGTGCCCATAGAACTTACTGAAATGTCACTCGTGACATTTCAATAAAGTTCTAACAAAAAATAATAATAGTTAAAGGAGAACTATGAGGTGAGTTATTTTCACTCATCCTCATAGTTCGACCCGATGTGCGACAATTAAACTGTCACACGTCAGCTCAATAGATCGGGAAGTGAGCAAACACATGCCGTCGCTCGCTCACTTCTCGATCATGCCCCTGCAGAGAGACGTGACTGTCACTCACGGCTCCCTGCAGGGATTCCCCCCTGTCCGTTCCGCCAGCGCTGACTGGCGGAACGGACAGGGGAGGGGGCGGGTGCAGCTGGCTCTGCCTCTAGATAGGCAGAGCCAACTGTCGATCACGCAGCTGGGTGGATCTAGACAGTAATGTCGAGATCCGTCCCGGCTGCGACGGTCTCAGTATACCGCAAGCTGTAGCTCACGATATATCGAGCTTTGGGTCAAGGGAGGACGCTAGTTTATGTCCTCCCGTGACCCTTAGGAGAACTATGGAGAAAAACACTTACCTCATAGTTCTCCTTTAAGCAGTGTGATGCGCCGAGATAGGCGCATCAGCAATGTGCCCTGCAATGCACACCGACAGTGGTGCATTGTAGCCTAGCTGCTGGTGTGAATTGGCCCTTAGAACTCCTGAGGAGTTTGTTCTTCCATAGGCATAATGAGATTTGTAGTTTCACCACAGCTGAAGGGACGGTATTTGCCTACACCTGCTCTAGGGGATTATTTAAGTTATTTTCTAACATTATTTGCTTTCAGGAACATCTTGACAACAGTTTGCAAAATAAAAAACTGCATTTTAAAGTTGCTTGATATGCCTGCTGTCAGAGTGCTGAATATTAAGGATGTATTTTTATGTTGAATTACAATATTTTTTACAGAAAATAAATATTACTGTATATTATTCAAATGTTTAAATAGTGTCTCCCTTAGCTTATGCTAAGCCCCAGGCATAAAAACGTAATGATGCTTCCCGTAACATATTGGCTGCCATCTTACATTTTCTAAGCCATACAAAGTAATGCTACAGCTGGTGTCCATTATCTTCCATGGAAAGTAGATAAGGAGTTCTTTGCTAGTCTTTAGATTTGTTTTTCATAGTCATGCTCTGTTGCACATATACAGGAATTTTAGCAAATTATAGGTGGAGCATAGTAATTTAGTCCTGATGTTATATTCCTCAATAATAAGTCCCCAAGGCAGCCACCATGTCGGCCCCACTCAGGGGTAGAAGATACTAAAAACACAAGAAAAACCAGGGGCACCTCTTAAAAGTATCAGTAAAAACATACTTTGGACATCCAGAGTTGATAGTTCTCACCTTTAAGCTGGCCTATAGATTATCTGTGGATTTTCTATGGTCAGATGGGAAAAGTGCAACAGATTCCTCCATATACGCTAAACTGTGTGGATGGAGTAATCTCCACCTGGGCCAAGGTTCAGTATCTTGCTAGTCGGCCCCGCTCGCTCTCAAAACACCTGAACAATGCCTGCATCCAATCAGATTGTTCAGTTATTTTAACAACCAGCGTGGCCGATTAGCAAGATACTGATGCTTGGCCCAGTGGGAGATTCCTCCATCCACACAGTTTAGCGTAGATGAGGAATCTGTTGCACTTCTCCCATCTGACCATAGAAACTCTACAGATAATCTATAGGTGTATGGCCAGTTTAAGATGTGGCTGAGAAAACACGAATGTTTAATCACGGTATACAAATGGGCATCACGGCAACAGTGCTTCGTGGGATAATGCCTCCAGTGCTGGACAGATCTGTAAATCAATTCACAAGCTTAATTCCTATTGTGGGATCCATGGAGGATTTCCTAATGAGGGAGCAGTTGTCACAAATACTGACCAACAATGTAATACAGACTATCAAGATCTTAAAAAAGTTTACTTGGATTCCGAACCTTTAGAAGTCAGCATTGGAGCCAACACATGGCTTGGAGTATTTGGCGTCTCGTCCTAGACACAGATCAAGCCAGAGTTTTTCTTTCCCAAGAGACACTTCTAACTCTCCATTCCTTGACTTGAACTCTACAGTCCAGAAGCTGCGCCATTTGCTCAGTTCCACTCCACACCCCTACAAACGGCCGATTCAAGGCTCTGGTGGGCCCTGGGCAAACTATATAATAGTGCTCCTCCTCCCTCCCTTACCTTCCACCCAAAATAGGTCACACAATATGAACAATACAGTGGCCGCATCTGTAAATGGCAGTCCGCATGTAATAGTATGTGATAAGATTACATGCGGTTTGGAATAAATTACTGTTGCTGAACGCAGTATTGATGCCTACAGGACCAGTGGTCTATTCCAAAGAGCATGTAATTGTATTAATTACAGATGCAGCCGCTGTCAACCAGTCATTAACCTAAACGGGTACGGTAACGAGATTCAGTAATTATCATGCTGTCAAAAGTTAGGAAGTCTACCAACACACAGGGTCTGCTATTGCACATGGAAGACTTACTTCACCTGGTGCGAGAAGAAAGGTTTCACCCCAGGAAATACTCTGTGGGAAGAATCCTAAACTTTCTGCAATTAGGTCTGGATCAGCATTTGAGTACCTCAAGGGGCAAATCTTAACCCTTATTTTAAAGATCTCTAGCCTCCCTTTCATTGGTCAGGACCTTTGTACAGGGTGTCTTGCATGTAGTCCTCATGTACAATGTGTTGCATCTGATTCTGTTGGCACCGCCATCTTTTGAAATCATTAGGGATATTACCCTTTCTACTTGCACTCACAAGTTTGCCTTCCTTGTTGGCATCACCTATGTGAGGCGTGTAGCTGAACTGGCAGCCTTGTACTGTAAAAGAACACTATTTGCTCCTTTACAAGGACAAGGTGGTACTGAGGCCTAAAACCTTCTTCCTTGCTAAGATGGTTTCATGCTGTCACCACTACAAGAACATTGTTCTTCCGTAGCTAGCTCTGTCTGGCTTCAATACATCATAAGAAAATAGCTGAATCCTGTGTCATAACAGATTTTATGGTACAAAAGATTAGTACAAAAATTCTGTTATTTGAATATACATAGCCTGATAACAGGGTCACTTTAATGATAAATGTTGAGATCTAGAAAAGATGTGAAAGAAAAAATTTGGATGTAACTGCATGTAAACTGGGTTGGCGCCAAGGCACAGAAAGGTTTATGTTACAGAAGTAGAGGTGCAGCAGCCCACTATAAAGAGTTGCTTTCGCAAATGTGATCGGCATGGAAAAGTAATTAGAAGATAACATTACCTCCTCACAAACATCAGTATCTAAAGTGTGCAGCACACTTAAACTGGCCATACTCTGCTGGATATTCGTACACATTTTTATGCCAAAAATTTCGTCATAACATCCACTAACGCCACCAGAAAATTGATTCATTTTGTTCGAAAGCTCATTTGATTTTAACATTTGCATTTGGAACTAATGGAGTTTCTCGAACAAAAACCACATTGACTGTTATAGTTTCGTTACAGTGAGAAAAAGTTTCCATCTTGCACTTTTGATGTTTTTCATCAGTATAGTTAAAAGCAATGGTCGATATGACCCCATTAACTATTAGAAAATCCAATGAATATTCTGAAAACACCTTTTTCTGAACAAAATTCTACTCCTGTTTATGGACAGCTTTAGGGAAGCCATATGCATTTTGTGCTGTAATTTGATAGAACACATTTTGAAGAAACTGAAGGTAAAAGGTGAGCCATAACCAACGAGACAATGATGATTCAAAACAACATCAACCTTGAATTACATAATGAAATTAAAGATTAAGATTGTAATGGTTATCACAGTTCCCAGACTTGAATGCTATTGGAAGTGTACAGGTAGATTTCAAACATGCAGTACAGGACAACTTGAAAATATATTTCTTAACTGGAATTTGCCTATGAAAAGTTTAAAAAAAAATCTTAAAGCGGTTTTCTGCCCTCTCCCCCAACTGATCACCGGTCTATTTACTATGATTTGATTTACTATCTATAAAACTGTGGTCACATGATGCTCCAGTCTTCTCTGTTTTTTCTGTTTACAGGAGACAGGGTCTTTTTGGGGTGTCCACGTCACTGCCTGTGTGACATGGACACTTCCTTCCTTCCTTGGCTATCTAGTGGCAGGGTCCTCTCAAGAAGAGGAGTCTGCAGCCATGGTGCTAGCACAAGTGGACTGGCTGACATATGCACATCTGCAGCGATAGAATAGCAATCACCCACACCAGGAAACGACATTGGCCAGAGACCCAGACGGTGTACCCCGGTGATTATGGGTAAAACAATTTGAACAATGGGTTAGTGGTAAGAGGGGGATTAATATTTCACCAGAGATTAGCTTTAGAGTCCTTTCACATGGCCATTGTGATCAGGTCCGTGTCAGTTTTTCAGGAAGACCTGATTGGAAACCCAATGTTAGCCTATGGGCAGCTAGACCCAAACATCCGGTTACCTCAGCTCCAGTTAGGTCTGGATAAACAAACGGATCAGAGTTCTGTTTTGCTGGACCTAATCATGCCGGATTAGTGGTAATCTGATGTAAACGGACACAAGTCCATTCCGATTCCCTATATACCAACATGGGTCCAATGCTTTCCTCCATAGCAAAATGATGGAATAAACTGGACAGACATGGATGTCACAATGATGACATCCATTCCGATAAGCAGGGGATCCATGCGTGCATCCCCTCCTGATCGGACCCTGTGAAAGGGGTCTTAAAATACAAACAGACTGTTAGATGGCTACAAGAATCTTTTAAAGATACAGAAAGTTTTCACAAAATGCTGACAGACAGGGTGCCCCCAAACGTTTGGACATACCACATCATGTATTTTATTTTCAGCCAGTGA